GGGGGGGGGGGGGGTGACAGGAGGAGTCAGAGTTCCACCCACGGGGAAGGGCTCTTCTGCAGAGGGCAGCCTAGCCCTGGGAGTCAGAGCCCAGGTGGGTGAGGGTGGTGTCCACACCAAGGGGGCAGGAGACCAAGCAGGGCTAGGAGGGTGTCCTCACCCAGGGGCAGCCTGGCGGGAGTGTTGGAATCGAGCAGAGCAAGCAGGGCACTCAAGCATGGGTATTAAAGACCTGGTTCAGCATGTTAAAGACCAAGGAGGTGAGGAGAGTGCCCACTTGGGGGGCAGGGTGGGGGGAAGGAGTTGGCAACACAGGATTGGGTGTCCTAAACCAAGTGGGGTGAGGAGAGCTCCAAGTAAGTAGGTCTATTTGTCCCTCTAAATAATCTAATGTCTTGACAATGATCATATCTCAGCATTCAGACTGTATCTCCCAAAAAAGAAAGGAAATAGATCTAGGCTAATGTCAAGGACATTGATGCCATTGAGAAAAAGAAAATCTGTGTCACGGTGTGTCATAAAATTGTTTTAAAGGTGTTTGGAAAGAGTCTGTCACTTCTCATCTGGTTTCACTGGTCACAGTCTCTTCCTCATTGCCTGGGTTTGAGGCAGACCCCGCAGCTGTATCTAGGTGCCTAGGCTTGTGAGCTCGGTTGTTTTACTCCTGGCATCCACACTCAGGCAGAACAAAGGCGATTTTCATGCCTGATTCTCCCCACAGGCACCAGGCCTTGACAAATGATAAAAATTCAGCAAACATCAGACAGGCAGGCTGTCCCACCAGGACTCTCGTGTCCACAGCAGATACTAATAACTGGGCAAATACTCTTTCCCAGCAGGAACCAATGCCTCCGAATCTTTTTCAACACAGGACTCCAATTTCCCATTACCAGTCAATAGAAGTTGGAACAAAGGGTGAAATGTATTTGCCAACCTTGATATAAAAATAACTGAAGTTCTTGCTTAACATGAATTATAGCTGATATTTAGGAAAAGAAAGTGTAGGTAGTTTTATCTCCATCTTACAAATAAGGTGCTACAGCTTAAAGGGGTAAGTAATATGCTCCAGGTCCCATAGTGTGGGCCTTGAAACTGGAGCTGTCTGGCTTGGAAGTCTAGGTCTTTAACCTGAAATGAAATTGCCTCTCCACTCATGCAAAATGCAGTGAGGAGAAGGGATTTCTGTTGTTTTAAGCCACAGAGTTTGTGGTAATTTGTTATGGCAGCCACAGGAAATTAATAGAGAAAGTAAGAAATAAAACTGCTTTTACTTGCAAATGACATTATTTTGTATGTAAAAATTCAAAAGAATCTACAAAAAACCCCCAATGAATTAATAAGTGAACTTAGCAGGGTCGCTGGATGCAAAGTTAATATGCAGAAATCAACTGGATTTTCATACATTTTACACTAGCAAAAAGTTATTAGAAAATTGAATTTTAAAACAATACTATTTATAATAGCATCAAAAACGTCAAAGTCCTAGCCTGGCTAGAGTGGCTCAGTTGGTTGAGCATGGTTCCAGGAACTGCAAGGTTCCCAGTTCCATTACTGGTCAGGGCACATGCCTGGGCTCCGGGCTCCATTCCCCGTAGGGGGTGTGCAGGCAGGCGGCAGCCAACAGATGATGTTTCTCTCTCTATTCCTCTCCCTTCCTCTCTTTCTCAAAATCAATTTTTAATAATAAAAAAAAGTAAATAAGCAAGCCATTGGCTGAGAAATGTGTGTGTGTGTGTAAAATGAGGATATACATAATGAATATATATCATATATGATATATATGATATATATTCATGTTATCTCATATTATCTATACCCTTATGTATAATCTCACATTATTTATCTATATGTATACACACACACACACACACACACACACACTAAAGAACTTGTATCCAGAACTCCTGCAGCTTAGTAAGAAAAAGACAGCCCAAGTTTTAAAAATAATCTAAAGACTTACACACTTCACAAAAGGGGATATCCAACTGCTAAACAGGTATATAAAAGGTTGCTCAGAATCAGTCCTTATTGGAAAGATCCAAATCAAAACCACAGTGATATATTACTGCCTCCCCCATCAGAAAGGCTAAAACGAAAAAGACAGAAAATATCCAATTTGGGGAAAGGGCTAAACAACAGGCACTCACTTAAATATTGCTGCTGTTCATGGAAATTGGTTCAGCCACTTGGAGACACTGGGATTATTGTTCCATTATCTTCTAGAGCTAACCACATGACTCGGCGGTTACATTACGAGATGTCTGTATACCTGAAAGAGAGCGGATAAGTCCATCAAAACAATCTTCGTGAAAGCTGAATTCATGAGAGCTAACTAATTAAAACCACCCCAGAGTCCACCGACAGGGGAATGGATAACTGTGATACTTCAGGATGGTCCTGAACTGAATGGAAGGGGCTAGATACGTGTCCTCCGGTCACTGGAGTAGACCTTGGAAGGGCTGTGGCCATGGCGAGGTGGCTGGCTCCAGCCAAGGGCAGGTCCCTGAGACTCAGCTGAGAGCTGTCAGCTGCCAGCTGTCCCATCACCTGGGAAAGTAAGAGCCTCTGGGCAGAGGACCACAGCTCCCTCTGTTCCCTGCAGGTCAGAGCTGATGTAAGCGAGGGCCTCTCATTCCAGGGTATTCCCAGAAATCCCTGGCAGTCTGTTAAATTGTTTGCAGTCGTGGAGCAAAAAACTATAAAGTAAGTTTATTACATATATACTTTACCCTAAAAATATAAAAATTAATTAGTCCTTTGACAAAAATCTTTTATATTTTTAATGATGATCATATTTTTAAATGATCTATGCTCAACGGGCTGATAAATAAAAATATCTTAATTAACATCCCAAGGTCCAGCGCATCTCGGCTAGTGTGTTTTTACATCACTGGCATATGAGGTTTCGTTGTTGAACTTATATTATTTCTTGTTATTATTTTGACGCATTACATCCCCACACTGACAAAAGGGGGATTACTGGCTCAAAAAACGATGCATCGATGCATAAAAGTAGTGATGAAAATAGAACCTAAATCCCACAACTTGGGATGGCACAATAAATAGAGGAACAAAAATTCCGGTGTGTTGAGATAAAAGAGGATTTTGCAGCAACTGATAGGGAAACACGTGAACAGAAAGCGTATTAATGAGTAACAAAGGCAGGATTTTATCATGGGTTGTCTGTTATGAATCTCTGTCAAATGTTGGGAGAGAGCCACCGATGAATTTTTCATCATTTGCAGACGATGCCCTAACTGGTAAACTAATTAAGTTGTCCTGGACCAACTGCAAAATGATGTTTTTAGTACAAAGCTAATGAGTTTAGTCACTAAAAGTTAAGAACTGACACAACACAGTCATCATTCAAAGTTGCATTCCTTGGGGCAAAAACGGGGCAGGCTACAGATGGCCAAAAGTCTTCAAAAACGGGAGGAAAGTTTATGAAATGACGCTCGAAGAGAATGCAGAATGTGCTGTTGGCGCAAATCCTTTCTGAAATGGAACTTCAAGCAAAGCAATAGTGGAACAGTCACTATCAGATGCATGTGCAAGGAAACAGTTTGCTTGGTGAGCTCTACCACAAATGTAAAAGCATGAGTCTGCCCTTGGCAAATGTACGGTACATATGAGAAGGAGACTATTTCTGTCTAGTGCTGGAAATAATGCCATTAAAAATAGCAATAACTGCCCAGCCGGCGTGGCTCAGAAGTTGAGCATCGACCTAGGATCCAAGAGATCGTGGTTCGATTCCCAGTCAGGGCACATGCCCGGGCTGCGGGCTCAATCCCCAGTCGGGGGCTTGCAGGAGGCAGCTAATCAATGACTCTCATCATTGATGTTTCTACCTCTCTCTCTCCCTCTCCCTTCCTCTCTCTGAAGTCAATAGAGACATTTAAAAAAAATAGCAATAATCATGTATTGGCCTCATTTTTAGGTTGGAAAAATGTATGCCAGGATCTTACTAGTGGAGCACCCAGCTTCCTGAATAGAAGTCTCTAAATCCCAATCTGCATACTGCTTTAGTAACGGACAACCACTGGTGGTCAATAATGCATCTCTTCTCATTGATTTGGTGTTGAAGAACATAGTAAAAACTGTTAGAACGCTTGTTTTTTCTTAGCGTACACCTTTAACATGCCGGGCTATGAAATGGGTAGTAAGGATAAGACCTTGCTAGCTGCTAAGAATAAAATGAGCATGTGAGTTTCTGAAATGAAGGAAGAAATAGGACATTTCTTTATGACATGGAAATGGTAGTAAAGACCATTTCTGTGATCTCAGGTGGCTTAATTGAAGAGATTAACTTAGAAATGTATGTGGGGTTATAAATAACCTGCACATATCACATCAGGGCTCGAGCATCATGATTTTTCTCAGGATTTATAAGTCCAACTAATGAATTAAATAACTCAGTGGCTAAGAATTCAATTCTGGCCCAATATTTCACATTTTTTTACTTATTGGAAAAAGAAATTAATCATGGACTGTGATAAAATGTAAAACCACATTCAAATATCTGAACAGAATATTTTTTTAATTTTCACAACAGCATGCAATCAGTGAGTTCATTAGTAATCTATTTTCCACTATCTCCCAAATTATACTTTTGAATCTTCCACTGTTTCATTGTGACCAGGTCTCAGCACTGACAGAGCCACCATTCTAGATAACTTAGGACCATTCTAGATACCTACAACCATTCTAGATAACTGTAATTACTGACGACTATTCTAGATGACTATAATTGTGGACTCAGCATTTCTACTTTGATAGAAATAAAAAGCCATTGCAATATTATTGACTATATTTCCCGTGCTGTACACTACATCTCCACGGTCGATTTATTTTATAACTGGAAGTTTGTACTAAGTTTGTACAATTGATCTATTTTAAAAACAGAATTAACAAACTGGATCTTCCAAAACTGTGTGCCCCATCTAACCCCATGCCCTTTCCACACAAAACTAGACAGGAAAGATGTTACCAATGAAAGGAGTTACTGCGACAGTGACCGTATACACCAACTCCTCTCCGTGGATGAGAGCTGTCCCACTATTATTATTGTTCCATTCTTTGGGACTTGGAACATTTTAATAGCTTTCTCATGCTGGCTAAGTTTTCTTCCTTAATCTAAACGGCCCTACTGCTTATTGAAAGTATTTATTATTATCCTGGCATGGTGCGAAGGAATCTCATTACCTTCTGCAATAAAAATTTTAGGGACAAATGATTTTCCCCCTATAGTTTAAATAAGAGAGGGAACAGATGGCTGGTTTCTGCTCTAATGTATGCTTGGGAGGCTGGCAATCAAAATGGGACTTCAGATACTGACTACAGAAAGGACAGAGTACCAGGAATACTGCGCCTGAGCTCTGTTGTCATAAACTCACCATTCAGAGCTGCAAACAACTGGGGCCCAGCGGCCGGTGTGGTGAACCAGCACGGATTATCCCTCCATGCTGGTGGCCCTTTGCTGCCAGACATCTAAGGAGCAGGATGTGGCTCTATAGACTCGGTGCCAGTTCAGAGAGCTGGGATTAAATACCAGCCTTGAGCCTGTCTTCTGAGAATCTACATGAGAAAAAAACCCTTTTTAACCATCAGGATGGAGAAGCACAGGCAGGGCAGATGCCTGGGAACTAAGCCATGGTCATGAAACTTATTTTTTGTTGCTCTTTTACATATCAGTAGGACCGGTGGGAGAACAAAGGAAAAATGTATTCAGGCAACCAGGGCTTTTGAGCAAAGGGTAACTTGTGTACTTCATGTATATATTCCTGATTTTTGCAGCTCAGCATTTTTCTAAGAGCAGAAAGATCCCAAGTGCCATTTATAGTTCTAGCTCAAAAGGAAGGAGGTTCTTTAACCCAGTGTTCAAGTTGAAGAACAAACTTTATAGGTTTCATATATTTCATAAAATAACTAATGTTTAACCTCGTTGAAGTGAAAGAAAAACCAAAGCTCAAGGTTTGTTCATATTTAATGAAAATCTTCAAAAGAAAAATGATGTTGGCCCAAGATCATCATGATTTTGATAATTCACCAATGAGGCCATCATCCGGGTAAAGGGAGAAAGTTGGAGAGTTATTTCCAAACTGGACCCAGAGGGCAGAATCTCAGTATCACCCTGGGAGAGAAACTTGGCCCAAGTCCCAAGTGCAAGCTATGCAGCTTTGTACATGTTAAAGCATAAAGCTGTGTTATCTACCCCAACCCCAAACACCAAGTCATTCAGACAAAACACTGAAAATACAAGTCAAGTGGACTGTTTCATTCCTTGCAGACAAACTAACTTGCTCGCTGAGTTTCTCCTTTTAGCTAGTGGCAGGCACAGTGTCCTATGCTCGGATCCTCAGATTTTCTTATGCTCATGTCACCTAGTGGACCTGCTTCCATCCCCTTTAGAACCTTTCCCAGTGATAAAGGCTTGTCTGACATTCAGCTCCTGACAGTTTTCCAAATTCAGGACACAACACATCCCGCTTTGAGTCCCACTGTGCATCCAAACGGCCCCTTCGGTCTACGTACATCTCTCTTCTACTAAAAATTTAATTAATCCAGACGCTGAGAGTAATTTGGCTAATTTAACATCCTGATTAATTCTGGATTAAACAGAGAATTCCTTTTGTTTCAAACTGTGTTGTTTAAAAAAGTTACAAAACTGTGTTAGTTCACATTCTTGCTTAAATATTAAGACCTATAAAAGCTCTGTGACAAAAATAATATATATTTTTTTATACTAGAAAGAGAATGTTCCAATGCAGGCTTCAGCAGGGTAATTCCTTTTCTGAAGCCCTATTTTTTTAATAGGGGTGCTGTCCAGTGCTGAAATTTTGAACTCTGTCACCCACGACTTGATTCAGTGTTAAATATATATCTAAAGTTTATTAATTCAATCTCCCCATGCCCATTTCCAGCATTACACGCTGGCCACCTTTTTGTTCCTTTCTCTTATGGATCAATTTTTACAATGACCTGCCTGAAATAATGTCTACAAAGAAAAATCCAATCAGCCCTTTGAGGTCTTTTTTCCTCTGTATCCTGTCCATCGACCTAGGATTAGATTTATCAGATTATGTGTAAATGAGAGGCTGGAGTTTACTGCAGTTCATGTGGGGAAAGATTGGTCTGGCTATTTTAAGTGAAGAATAAATAACTTGAGGAGGACAATTAGTCTAGAGGGCAGGATGTGGG